AAACATTTCCATCACTGCAAAGTAAAATACCCTACTCATTAAGCAGTTTCTCCCCATTCCCCTCCACACAGCCGCTGACAACCACCAATCTGCCTCCCATCTCTGGATTTACGTGTTCTGGATGTTTCACATAAATGGAATCGCACCATACGTGAACTATTGTGTCTGGCTTCTTTCACTTAGCGTAACATTTTGAAGGTTCATCCATATTGTAGCATGTATAAGTACATCATTCCTTTTTGTGGCCAACTCCATTGTGTGTGTCATTAACCACACTATGTAAGAGCCTGTTCTGTTATCAGTTTTTCTTTTTTTATGACCAGTATGGGGATTACAACCCTCGGCACGGTGTGGTCCGCACCACGCTCAGCCAGTGAGCGCACCAACCATCCCTATATAGGATCCGAACCCGCGGCCTCAGCGACCAGTGCCGCACACTCCCGAGTGAGCCACGGGGCGGTCCTTGTTATCAGTTTTTCTTGAAGACAGCATGAGTTACAGACCCGGTCAGACAAATGGTAATCATTTATATTCCCTTCAACCCTTTAGGGGCATAAAGTTGCTTATAAGGGGAACATTCCAAAATAGCTATAGGCTCCATGAATAAATCTGAGTGAGAGGTGGTAATGTTTAGATGTTCATTTCCCAGATGTGAGATGAAGAATTTAATTAACGTGCAAGATAAAACACTTAAGAAGGGCAAATGAATCAGAGATACCAAATTTCTCATTCAAAATTGCTTCATTGCTTGTAACAGGTGTAAGATTTCAAGACAGATGTTTCACAGAGAACATGTTATGAATCTTACTTTGGAAAACTGTAAAGTCATAGTCACACTCTTAAAGGCTGTGTGTGGTGCATTTCTTTGGGGTTCTTTTCCCAGTTGCATAGATGTGACAGCACACTCTCCTATCTCTGCGCCTCTGCCTGGAACACATCCCATGCATGGTCTACTTCTTCCCCAACCTCAACACCCTTGATGTTTTTTTTTTTTTTTTTGCCCACTCAACTCTTACTCTTTGAGCACTATATCCTCAGGAAGG